CGGCATTGGCGCGCGGTATATTCATGGGGGAGACTCTCACCACGCTGCCGCCCGCCGAACGCGAATTGGGGCCCATGGGCGGCGTCTGGAGGCTGCGTTTGGCGGCTGCACTCGGCGTTTGCCGCTGGCGTGCACTGGCCTCCACGGCGGCAGCGGCAGCAGCAGCAGCTGCCGCTGCATCATCCTCATCGGTCAGATCGATGACGGCCTTTTCTTTGGGTCGGGCGGGCGCTAAACTGGGCTGCCCAAAGCCGGCGGCAGCAGCGCCGCTGTCTGTGGCATTTGACATGGGCACCGAAACGGTGCCGCCGCCAATGGGCATGGCTCGTGGCTTGTTGTTGATGCTGATGGGCTGCTTGCCGGGACTGCGACCGATGCGCACGCTGCAAGGAAGATATTGAGTTAAAGGAGTTGCTGTCAGAAATAAGGCAGGAATAACTCACGGCAAAGGCTGTTGTTGCTGTTGCAGCTGCTGCTGTTGTTGCTGTTGCAGCTGTTGCTGCTGCTGCTGCTGCTGTTGTTGTTTCGGTGTCATGTAAGAGCCGGGGTAATCCTTGCCAATGGGCTTGGCTGTGGTGCCGCGCGCGCGCATCGCTGCCGCGACAGCCGCAGCGGTTGCCGCATTCGTGCCGCCTGTGTGCTTGCTGGCGTACATGGGCCGTGATGTGACATGGGGCAGTGATTGGATGCGTTGCATGCCCTGGTTGGGGGAGCTCGCCTGCTGACCGCTGGGCGTGTTGTTTACGGGACGCTGAGGCGTCACTTTCTGCATGCAGCCGCGACGCACGGGCGTCGTGCCGCTGGTCTGCACGAAAGGTCGGGATGCGGGCAGCGTCGGCGGCGTCTGCTGCAGTTGCTGCTGCGGCTGCAGCTGCTGCTGATGATGAGGCGGACTGGGACCTGGTCGCGGCGCATTGTTACGCATGGGCGTGCGCATCGGTGAGGTGCTTGCCTTGGGCGGCGTTGGCATTCCTGCTGCTGCCGGCGCCGACATACTGCCCGCAGTATGTACGCTGGCCTGGCTGCGCGCCTCCTCGCTGGGTTTCTTCATGAGGGCCATGCCCACCTGTAGACCGACAGCGCGCGTAATGCGCACGGGCGCCGTAAACTGTGCATTCTTCGTTTCCAGATCCTTGAGCACGCGCTTGTGCACCGTCTCCAGATCGAGAAACTGCTTGGACACCTCGGCTATCTTGCGTCGATAGTTGGCCAGTGTCAGCTCGTGATTGTCTATCTGGCGTCGGATCTCCGCAAATTCGCTCTTCACCAGCATGCTCTCGACGACCTTTTGCAGCACCAGCTCCTCCAGATCGTGCCGTGTCATCTTGTCGAAGTTCTTGCGGAATTTCTTGATAAATTCCATGCGCAACGGCCTGACATCGGGCTGGAATTGCGGTTTAGGCTTCAAATCGAGCGCCAGCTCCGTTGGCTCCGACTTCTCCTCGGGCTTGACTTTGGCTGACTCTGCAGCAGCTGCTACCGCTTCCGACTCCTGGGTATTGTCGTGAGCATCGAGATCGATTTGCAGCGTACCATCGTTGGAGCTATTGGAATCGGAGTCGTCGGTCTTGAGCTTCTTGCTGGGCGTCTCCTCCTTCTCCACGGGACTGCTATTGGCTAGCAGGCTGTGACTGCGTTTGGCAACTGCGGGCAGAGCTTCCTCATCGTTGGTGGTTGTGTTGGCGGTGGTGCAGCTGGAGCTGCTGCTAGCCTCCGGCTTGTCCTCGGTGCTCAGTCGTATGCGCTTGACGGCCGGCAGGCCCGCATCGGGCTCATCCTCGGGCTCATCGCCCACCATTTCCACATCGCCGTCTTCAGTCTCCGCAATGGGCTCGGCCTCAGCTTCGGCTGGGACCTCGTCTCTGCTCTTCTGCGAGGGCTGCAGCAGATTGCTCGAGTTGCTGTCCACATCCTCCCCAGAGCTAACTTTGAGCTTCTCCTGCGTTTTGAGCTTCTCAAACTGATCGCAAGCATTGTCCGAATTGTCAGCTAACAAATCTGTGCTTACGGCTTCATTCGATTTGGAATCTATTGCTGCAGTCGCAGTTGTTGTTTCAGACTTTTTACTGGGCGCCTCCTCCGGTTTCTTTGCGGGCGGCTGTTCATCTTCGTCCTCGGACACAAGGACCACCTCGTCTGTCTTCTTCTCGACCGTCGGCATATCCTTGACAGCTTCTGTTTTGTTTTCGTCTGCTTCAGGCTCCTTTGCCGATTTCTCAATAGGCTCGAAAAAGATCACTTCGTCATCCGATTCTGCCTCCTTTGTGTCAGCTTCGATCTTCTCTGAATCTTTGCTCGGCGCCTGCTCTTCACTCTCCTCGTCCGCCTTCTCCAAGTCTTTATCCAAGACTCCGTTTGTCTCTACAACCTTGTTGTTCGGCAGGACAGGAACTTCGCTTTCTATTACTGTGTCCTTTGAGTTGGCCTCCGACGTGTCGGCAGCTTCCATCAACATTTCATCAAGGTTTTTCACTTCGAGCTCCTGCGTAGTTGTCAGTTTTGATTGCTTATCCTCTTTATCATCAGGTTTATCAAGCTCCTTTGGCTCAGCACCTTTCACAGCTGTCTCTGATTTTTCTGCAGCCTTCTGCGCGGGATCTTCGGAACTATCTTGAGGCAACTCCGTTATTGCCTCAGCTGCTAGACATTCATCCGATGAGTCTAGATCAATAATTGATATATCGCCTTTTGCCTTATCATTGGCAAGTTCCGCTTTATCATTGCTTTCGTCGGAGGTTATGTCTTCTAGGCCATTTTTGCACTCCTTTTGGGGATTTAGTTCATCGGATTTTTTAATTTGCTGATTTGCCAATGCTTCGAACTCATCTGAGCTGGATATATTTTCCAATGCATCCATGAAGACCTCATCGTTGGAGTTATTGAGGCTTGTCTGTTCATCGTCCGCTTTGGACTTATCTGTTTTTGAGATTTCCGCGTCCTCGCCTTTACCAACTACCATATTTTCCTCGGCTAGCACATCCTTTACTGCTGTTTTTTCATCCTCATTGGCAGCAATATTTTGTTTATTTTCGCTTTCCTCTAAATCCACTTCCTCTTCTTGTATTTTCTCTTCGCCCTCGACAAGATCGCCGGACTCGGGTTTCTCCACGCTGTTATCGTTCTCGTCTTCCTTTTGCTCTCCTTCGGCGCCGATCTCTTTGGCGGCAACCGCATCGATCACAATGTTGCTTTTCTCATTGTTATCGATATCGGCTGCGAGCGACTCATTGTCAGCTACACTCTCCTCTGCTGCCTCCTCGTCGATAGACTCCTTGGGATCGCAGTCTACGATCGAACTGATTTTATCCAAAAGAGCATCCAAATCTGTGCCAGCATTGCGTTCGCAGGGCAGCGCTTCGCTGGCAATTTGATCGATGCTTTTGCCTATACTATCGATAGACGGCGCTGCTTCAATATCGGGTTCCAGGACGTCTGCTTCCAGGCCATTGTGTATTTCCTCATCGCTGGCTGATTTGCAGTTTTCCATCGTTTTTTTAATATCTGTAAACGGTTTGCCTCATTTAAATGCGAATTTATCGATTAAAGTGTTGTACCTACCAGGGGTGGTGAGCTTATCGACTTCATGGTCGAGTTCCTCTGCAATGCTTCTTATAATTTCATCTTCAGTTGCCAACTCCTTTAGTTCCACTTTTTGTGTTACTTCCATCATATTTGCGCGTTAATATTTTGCCTTTAGTTGGAACACATTGAACTGAGATGAAATGAAAAAATGAGGTGTTTTGTCATTTCATTGGTTTCATTGACGATCCGGCAACACTGAAAGCGACTGTGTGGCAACCTTGCGCAGAGGCTATCACACCATATGACCTAGCCCCTACCCCCCCACCCCCTCCAACCATACAATCAAAACGTTTTATACATCAAATGTAAAATCCGTTTTACAAAACCTAAAACAATTAATTCGTCAATTCCCTCTTTAAGAATTGATGCAGACGAAAAAGCTTTCGGCGAAAGCTTACCGAAAGCTTTTACTGTAATTTCTGTCAGCGATGAAAATGAAAAAGAGCGTTGGTTAAAAAAAAAAAAAAAAACAGAAATTTACAATGAACCAAGTCCGGATTTCACTTTCAGACCCTGCTTGAAAATCGTATTACCCAATAAACAAAAAGCCCACTTATAACAATTGACCTTGAAAAATGAAAGAGTTCGATTAAATTTAACTAGCATTTAAAGTTTGGGTAAAGTCTTGAAATATGAATGTTATTTTAAAATTCTATCAATCAAGTAGTTATAGTATGTTATATATATATATATATATATAAATTCGTAAGCACCAACTGATTTTCGTCTGGTGCCTTACGCTATTTCGGTTTCGGTATGTATCTATAAATCTACATGCCTAACCGGTGTGCTTGTCGCTCGGTCGGTCGGTCGGTCGGGCGGTTCGGTCGGTCGGTCGGTTCGGTGGTATTTTGCCGCCGAACGCAACAACAACAACAACAACAGCAAGAGCCGCCGCAGCGCAAGATGACTGCAGCCGAAACACAAATACAAAGCGAACAAGCCAGAGAAATAAGCGTGCATAAAGCAGGAACATGTGATAAATATTTGGAGCCAGCGTAGAAGCAAAAACAAGATATGTTGTATGGAGAGTGTACGGGGACTGGGAGCGATATACATATGTATATTCGATAAATGATATATGATATATGTATTTTAGCTTTTACCGTAACAATGTTGGGTGTTAACAAATTTGAGGTTAAATTGAAGCAATTTTATATAATTATTGAAATTAGGACAAAATCCAACTTACGATAAGCTCGAGCCGTATGGATGCGCCTCGTTTCGTAGAGTCTCAAGCAATTTACAGCAATTTACACTAGACTCTTAAGAAATCAAATTATTTGTAACTAGATTTCTGTGCGAGTTCAAGGCAACACTAAACATTGGCCGAAGTGAACGCGAACGCGAACGCAAAAACCAGCTGACGGCGAGACGACGACGACGACGACGACGACGGCATTAAAAAAAAAGAGCACAATAGCGCTGCGAAGAGAGAGCGAGCGGGAGAGAGACAGGCAGACAAGGTGAAAGAGCGCGAGAGAGGCAGGGGCCAGCGACCTAGCTGCTTGGTAAGGGCGTGTCAGATAGGATTTGATAACGTTCTATATCTAATTTTTAAAAAATTTTAAATCAATTTCACTTTCACATCTTCGATATGCGTAAAATTCTACAGTGCGTGCGACCCCTAGCCAAATGCGCTGTGACGTCAGCATGGCTGGCAAATAAATGTAAATGATTTTGCACACCATTATGCTTGATATTGGGTACTTCTGAAATAGGTCAACTTTTCAGGCAATTTGTCAGCGTAGCTATAGACGAATTGGATTTCCAGCAACAATTTTGAAACGAGTTGGCAGCGCTGGCGCTTGAAGAACTACCTTCGGAGCGGAGGGGGTTCGGCTGCAGGGGGTTGAACCACATTACCAATTGCTGCTGCAGGGGATCTTCGTCTATGTTATGGTTTTCCACAGAGTTCCGATAACAATAACAGCCAGATAATAAAAGAAAAACGCAAAACAAAGTAAAAGTAAAGTTGCCATAAATTGCCATTTTATAAACGAGCAATGCTGCCGACTGTGCGAGCGGGAGGTCTAAAGCGAGTGAGCTGTGTGCGTGAGCGAGACAACTCTATGTGAAACATTTTATCTGCCAATGGATTGAATGGAGCGGTTGGGGGCGACGGGGGATAAATTAAATTATTATTTTCTACAGAAATTAACGACAAAATATGAAAAACGCCATTTGAAAATGAAAACATGTAAAACGGCAAACAAAAACAAATCAAGAGCACACGTTTAGAGAAAGAGACTTAGAAGCAGGGGAAAGGGGGGGGGGGGTAGAGATAGTTAAGCAGCAATATTGCGGCAATTTGTGCGCTAGTCTAAGATCCGCAGTTTTTGGGATTTGAGAAGATGCAGTTTTTTATGCGTTTGCCTAGGACTTTTGGCAGGATACCGGTTTAGTATCAGGTCGTAGGCTTTCAAGACCAAAGAGAGGGAGAGAGAGAGTGAGAGAGCGTAAGAGCTTCAACAGCAAGAGCGAGAAAGAGCAAGAGAGTGCTAATGAGTGACAGAGAAAGAGCGAGAACGGTACTAGACGTTTATACGAGGTAAAAAAATATGTATTGTATGTATGTAAGTCATCTATATGTAGAAAATAAGAAAATGAAAAAACTTTGCCGAACGACAAACACATTTGGTTCGTGCCGTCGTACAACAACGCGAGGCGTACCGAAAGACACAGCAGCACAGTGAGAAGCAGCAACTAAAACGGACGCAATACAAAAATTGAGGCGTCGCCAGCCATATTTGCCGTCCAAAGTTTGTACTATGTATTGGGAGAAAAAAAAAAAACAGGTCTTGGATTTCGAAATGTCAAGATATAGAATCGATCCGAAACATGATTTGGTTCAGTTACTTATCATTATGTTTGGGCTGTACCCCAATGTCGCCTGCCCTCTGCCTCCCTACCCAATTATACCCTACTTTAGTTTTATTGCTCTCATCTTGTTTGTATGCGCTTTACATATAGACAAAAAATAAATATGTTGTAAATAAAACAAAGCTACCTGATTAATTGTATATCTGCATATACTATGTTGATGTCTATTTCATAGTAACATAACTGTGTTTGGACTTGTTTTGGGAGTTATGTATGTCTATTATAGCTGTTTCGCTCTCGCATGCTAGCACACACACACGCACATACACTCACGCACACATGCATACCTGAGTTCGTTTAAGTAGAACTACGCGTGTGTGTGTGTATGTGTGTGTTCGTGTATGTATAACAAGGTTTGAATGTGTATAATATTTTGCAGCGCATTCACATTCTTTTTAGGTTACGTATCGATTTTGATGCAAAGTGAGGTTAGTTTGAAAAACATCTAAGTTCCGTAGAATTTTACGGATCCATGGGTCTTAAACGAATATTTGATTATCTTATTATGGGTATATCATTTGATCCTAGACATCGGCGGCTAAGTTATCATGTGCAGCTAACTGCAAGCGCAAGAGTAAAAGCAAACGGGGCAACAATTTAATTTTATGATTGTACAATTGAATGTTTTTAGGGCTGCCAAGTGCTAGCACAGCATTATTTTGATTAAAGATAGTTTTCGTTATCTATGTGCATAGGTATGGACGTTATTGTACGAATGTACATGTCATTATGGTGCACATGGTATACAATAGGGTTGCCATCTGCAAACATTGTCATACATATGTACAGCCTATGCTTGGGGTTCAAGGACACACACACACATGTGTACTCCAAAAGCCGCACTCAATGTTTACATTTTATAATAAAAGACGACAAAGTTGAGACATTTATAGTTTTACCGGCTGCGTTGCAGCCACCTGACAACCCTAAAAACGCAAACAAATGCTAAAAAGTCTCTCTTTACATATTCGAAATCAAAAACTTATGTGAATACGTTGGAAAACCCCTTAAACCCATGCATATATACATGAGACGATAATATAAACAATAATAATAACAATAATACAATGTGAAGTTAAGAGCTGGCAACAATCCTAAGTACTTAACATTAACTTACCTGTGTATATATGTATTTTGGAAGTTGTTGTTCTTGATTTTAGCATATAGATTATAACGTAACGTTTATGATATGCCCTACCTAGTAAGGATTTCAATAATTTAAACGGTTTTGTTGCGATTTGTTTACACCGTACTGAGAACCACCGCCCTGAACAACTGGAATACCAAACACAGACTAAATCAGAGCAGACAACAACAATTTGTGAGGAGCTGCGAACCAGTTGCGTTGCGGCTAGTTCCTGAACGTCAAAACTAGCTCGCAGGCAGGGCGACAAATGAACTATAAGCAACATAGCACAAACAACATCTGTAAGTTGAATGCATGGACAATACAAACGAGGGGTTCTAATAACAAATTGATTAATGAATAAATTTTATTAATTGAACTTGAAACTGGTTAAATTTGATTAATTAGATTGATTTAAGGCACTGTATAACAAATACATTTTATTTTTATGAACCGATACTCATTGGTATTAGTTGAAATTATTCAAGAAGCGAATAAGTAACTAATTGCAAAATAGTTTTGCACGTAATTATGGCTTACCTCTTCCGATACGGTGTCAATTGCATTTCGAACTGTAGTTCAAAGTTCCACAACACTGGCTCATTTAACTTATCAGCCCTGAAAAAGAGTGTGCAAAAACCAGTTCACGCGCGAACGAACGAACGATCAAAAATGAAACAAAACAAAAACATCTGTGCGGCTTGTAGGTTAGTTTGGTTTTATAATAAATGCTATAAACAAAGTTATCAGTTAAAATGAGCAATTTGGTTAATTTTGCGCTCAGACACGGCGCCAATTTCCTGAAAAGACACTCACTGCAAAGCCTACGCTGCGCCTTGGCACCGAAAGTCAGTAAAGTGCCGGCTCCTATTGCGCCCATCAGATCCAATTCGACACGAGCTGCCTTCGATGTGAGCACAAATGTACCAAAAGATATTGTGCTGTTCAAGTATGAGAATCCAAGGTTCTATCAGATGCTCAACTTTTTCGGCGTGTGCCAGTTTGTGTTCTGGACATATCTGTCGCACTTCGCCTTTACGACGCTCAAAGATGCGCCAGTTGTCGAGAAGCCTGGCGAGGAGCTGAAGTGGTTTCAGCGCATAAATCTGGGCGAGAACAAGTACAAGAATGGCATAACAATATGCAGCTTTTTGATTGGTGAGTGATGCCACAAAAGTAATTGCTGCACAGTATTAAGGTTTATAGTATTCTTTAGGCTATGGCATTTTGTTTGCCGTTTGGATGTTTACGCTGCGCTCTGTGCGGTTTCTCATCCTGCGCAAGGGCGGCCAGAGCGTGTCCTTTGTGACCTACGGTCCGTTCAATCGCAATCGTATTATGACTGTGCCGCTGAAATGCATCTCGGCGCAGGAGTCACGGGAAATGGCGCGCGTGCAGCTGCCCATTAAAGTTAAGGACAAGACGCTTTACTATGTGCTGGATATGCGCGGCGAGTTTCGCAATCCCCAATTGTTTGACTATACCGCGGGCCTCAAGCGACGCATTTGATGTGTTTACAAAGTTTTGTTTTTTACGGTTTACTTATTATTTGTAAATATACACATGTAAGCTAATTTAAACATAAACGCTGGCTTAGTAGATGGGCTCCGGCTTTTGTGTGAGCAGCAGACCAAAGCGCTTCTTGATGGTAAGGCGCTGGCGTGAATACTTGTCCTCGGGCGAGAAACGCGCTGGATGTGCAGACAAGGTGGGACGGCCGTCCTCCGTGCGTTTCTGCAAGAAAGCACAAGCAGCTGAGTTGCATTCTTTATTTACATATGCTTTAACTAACCTTCAACGTGTAAACACGATCGCCGTTTTCGTTAATTGTGTACATCAGATACATTTTGAATAAAAATTAATAAAATGTGCGTCTTTTTCACAATAAATACAAACACGTGTGGCTTGCAGTGCTGCGCAACGATTAGAGGTGCAAGCTGTGCCTATCGCATTGGTTAGACGTAACTATCGATAGTAAAGTCACGCAGTTTCTAAATCAACTCTATCGATAAGAAATATATAATGCATAATGGCGTTGTGCAGCACTAATAAAATTATTTTTATGCAAGTTGGCGCTCAATTTTGTTAAGATTTGCATTTACATATATATTCGTAAAAATGTCAAACAAAGCGGACAAGCTGCTTAAACAGGCCATGAAGGAGCAGCAGAAACGCATGAAGCCCGGCGAATGCCAGAGATATGTACGCTTGGTGCTGGACGCGGGCCTGCTGCGCATTGCATGGGGTCAGGAACTAATTGGGAAGCTAAACAATACGGACTTGAAGTACGAAATACGCACATTGCCCGCCCGCAACTGCATTATTTGGGAGCGCAATGTGGGTCAGCAGACGCTTGCGGCGGGCGCCGCACTGGAAGATGCCTGGCACATGGAGCCACAAGTTTTGGTGATCTTTACCGAAACGGACTTTCAACGGGCGCTAAAGGAACAGAATCTGGCCTGCATAGGCCCCAAGTTGCACGATGCATTTCCCGCAGCCGATTGCCAGTTTACGGTGGTGGTGCCACGTCTGCGCCAGAGCAAACACAGCGCCGGCAGCAGCGAGGCGGACGCGCTGATTGAACTGCAGCTGCTGCAGCAGCTTCACGTAGAGCAACTGGCTCAGCCCCAATGCCAGGAGCTGCTGGCACTGCTGCAGCGCTACACAAAGGCCATTGCGGAGAAGCCCTACAAGCAGCAGCGTCAGGCCATTCTGGGCAGCTTCAAAAAGTACCTGGCCAATGACAACAAACAGTGCGTGCGCGTGGAACAGGGCAACGGCTATGGACGCCTCTGGCAGCAGCATCTGAATAGATTGCCCCTGGTCACGCTGGAGGTGGCGGAAGCCATCATTTCGCAATATTCCTGCCCGAAGCGCATGCTGGAGCACTTTGCCAACGATGCCCAGGCGGTGCAAACGCTGGCGGATGTCAAGATCAAGCGCAGCAATGGGCCACAGCCGCTGCAGTCGGAAAGGCGCATTGGCAATGTCCTAAGCAATAAATTGTATACCCTGTACAATGCTAGAGATCCGAACACATTGATTTAGGTAGTATAGATTTAGGCCGTTTATTCAGCTGCTCAGAATTTACAATCGATCATTTAAGTGCTTAAATATTATTTATTTTTATTTATATATTTACAGTTTTCTATTTCGTTAGATAGTATATATTAAAAATCACAATATTTTTATACGCGTGTCTCTTAAAAATGTACATAATTGTTTAATTTGTTTAAGTTCTACACCTGAATATTTTGTTGATAGATATTTCGATTTGGCGCGTAGAAAATACTATTTAAAATTACAGATTTTCGATTTTCTAAATTAACAAAAATTCTATACGATATTAATTCAAATATATGTAACTAGGCAAAAACATATATATACCAATCATATACAGATGAGAGCTACGTATTTGACAAAGGATTTTGACATAAATAAAGAGATGGGTGTGGGTGCCAATGTGAAAGTCAGTTCGTCGCATCTTTCTACAGCGTGGCCAGAATGCGAAAGAAGCCCAGGCAGGCCGAGAAGATGGTCTGTCCGACGCCCCAGAAGAGAGCATAGATCGGTGACATGGGCAGGCTGGAAGCGCGATGGACAAATGCGATCACAGCGCTGCTAATGATGCCGCTGCTCGCAGGCGATACGAATCCCATAACCAGTATCAGTATGGAAAAGAAGCGTCCAAACTTGTGCCGGCGCAGTGTCACAAATGCCACCAAGGCGGCGCAGGTGTGTATAAATATTGATGAGAAGAAGGCCCACAGAAAGACATGGTACCACATCTCGCGGAACGTGTTGAGCCGCGCCTGGGAGCGCAGCCCAACCACATCGACAATGGCGTCCAGCTCATCGGTATCGATGGGCTCCGAGTACATGGCCAGCAGGATGGGCAAGCAGTGAGTGTAAATGTATTTATAATCCTGAATTCGTAGAATTTTGGCTACAATTATTGGAAGTACCCAGTGATTGTTGTTGTTGTTCTTGTTGTTGTAGATGTTGTTTTTAGTAGTTGCTATTAAATACGTTTAATTATTGCTTTTCCGTTGCTCCGACGTCGCGTTTTGGTCATTTGTTTTTTGTTGCTGCCGTTTTTTTAGCTACGATTCGCGTCGGTCTGATCAATGTGCAGCTGGAAAGTGTAAATAAAGCACTGTGCATTGTAGTTAATTGTGTTGGGCATTGTCAAGGAACCTGCAATGGAGGAAAGAAAAACAGCACGTTTCAGTTGTTGTTGACCTTTTGGCCTTTTGCATGCTACTCACACACACACACACGCACGTGCGTACGTACGCACACATACATACACTAACTCAGTTTGATCCTTGCGTGTGATCCGCACCCGTTCCAGTCGCTCTTATAAGCCTAGTATGTTGTTTTGCCCTTGTGCGCTGAACAAATATTTTGCTTTGTTTTCTTTTGGCGCTGGCAAAACGGGAATCGATTAAAAAGGCCACACCAAAATAGCACTTGCAGCGGCAGTGATTCACCAACTCCTAGCTAGGGTTTTTTGATTAACTATTTAAAGCACATCGCGTTATTTAGTGTATTGTGTCGTTATGCACAATTGATATACACTTGATTAAATACTAAAATATTTTAATTATTATTAGTTTTTCTTCGACTGCGTTCTATTTTACATGGCAACGGGCTGGAACGCTTTGGTAAATGAACGCGCTTGATAAGCTGTCAACTCAGCTGTTTTATGCACATATCGATATGTTTATATCGCACGTCTAGCCCAGCTGTTGTGTGTATCGATTAGCGTGCATCGTTTGCATGGCACATCACTAGCTGGAATGCTGTTGGGGCAGCTGTTTTTCGCGTTGCGTGTCTGTGTAATTTGTGCTCGTGTGCGTGTCGCCATACAAATTCTTTGCGGCCGGAAAAAATCTTAAATCTCGCTGTGAAATAAGAAATTAAAATCGCGTTTAATCTAATAAAAAGTAGCTAGAACATTAATATGAATAAGGAGCAAGACTATGCATCAGATAGCGATGAAAGCGACGAGGATTTTTGCCTAGAAAATGAAGCTGATGCTGATTCCGTTGAGGAGGAGGAGGAGGAAGACGACAGCGAAAGCGAATTCGACGACGACAACGACGCCGAATCAAGCGAAAAACCAAGTAAAGCTGCAAAAGGCAAAAAGAAAGACAAAGTAAAGCAAAAGTCAATAGACATCGACAGCGGTGCAGGAGCTAAACGTAGCACGCGTCAAACGGAAGCCAAACAAAATGGACGCGAAGTTGCGGAAAAGGACGAATTGGAATCAGACGAAGAAGCCGACAAATCGCGTTCCGATGCGCTCTGGGCAGACTTTCTGGGCGATGTCGGCGTCAGCAGCAAACCCGCCTCAAAGCCCAAAGAGACGCCGTCGCCCGCCAAGCCGACAGATAGCGGTAAACGCGCTGCGCCGGCCGCCAAGCAAGTAACGGAAGTTCTTGACTTTGCCGGCGAACCGGTGACCGTGACCAAAACCATCACAAGTTCCAGTTCCAGTTCCAGTGCTAAGGAGAACCAAGAGCAGCCGGCAGCGGCAAGCCCTAAATCTCCAGCGCCACGCGCCTTTGGCGCTGCCAAACGTGCAGCCAATGGAGGCGGCGGCGGCGGCGGCGGCGGCGGCGGCGGCGGCGGCGGCTTGGGCTCTTTGCTCAATCAGCTTGGCAAGAAGAAGAAAATGTCAGTGTTGGAAAAGTCACAGCTAGATTGGAAGTCGTTTAAAAGTGAAGAGGGCATCGACGAGGATCTGCGTACACACAACAAAGGCAAGGATGGGTGAGTTCTTTTTTTTTTGATGGCTTTGCCATGTTAAATTCTTGAATAATTTAACTTTATTCGTTGCAGTTACTTGGAACGCCAGGACTTTTTGCAGCGCACCGATGTGCGGCAATTTGAGATCGAGAAAAGCTTGCGGCAAACGCGACGTTCAAACTAAAACACGCCGCATCCACATCCTGCAAGTTTTCCACTTTCCAACACACACACACATTCACACTTGCTGTCCACACATTCGTACATGTCTTTTATTTAGGATAGTGCGTATGCCTAACAATAAGTTATAGAAATATATATATGTATATATATATATCTATATCTATATCCGTAATGCTGTTCCAAGGCACTATCGAATCGTATAATACATTCAACTGAACTATTTTAAAATGTGAACGCTGTAGACATCGATGGGAAAGCAACAAAATTATTATCATGTAAGGAGAGATCAGGAGCTGTGTGACTATAATTTCCAAATGGTTTAAACGCACGCGCTGCTGTGTAGCCGGATAAGGATAGAATTGTATTGATATTCATTCCGCATCGATGACGCCCACGCGCTTCGCATCGCTGCGAGTTAAATGCAAAAACAGAGCTCCGAGTATACAACCGAAGCTTCCCAATCCAATGGACAGCCATCTAAACCAATTATTGGCATTTAATACGCTGTACATGAAAGGAAATGGGCCAAGCATTAATATTGTAACTTTCACAAGTTCTCCCGCAAACCTACGCAAATATCTTTTTGTGCAGCAGCTGTGTAACTTGTTCGTCCAGCTGCAGCGACTCCTCAATCCAAAAGAGCGGCATGGCCAAGGAACGCAGCTGCGACATCAATGGCACATCCTTCACGGGCGCCACTTTCAGGCTGAACTGCAGGCGATTATGCACGGAGAGCACTGTGCCGGAAAACTATACAAATCAATGGATATTACTTTGGCATTTACTTGAGTTAAACAAAGCTTATGCTAACCTGCTCGAAGATCAATATGCTGGCATGTTTCGCAGCTGTTGGCTGCACTCCCTCAACTTCAGCCAATAACTTTTGATCTGCCTGATAAAAGTGCGGCAAGGAGGCCATTAAAGGTGTGCCGCTGCAGCGTACCAGATCCATGGTGCCATCAGCCGGACAATTGTCGGGATAGTCCGTGCAGTAGCAGTGCAAATCCGGTTCCGTCTGGAAAAATATTTACTGTTGCTGTAAGTTTTTAAAACTATTTTCATTTGGATTTTTTTCGGGTTTTTATTGAATTTATCTATTTTTATTAATATTCGCTGTGCCTAGACTTGTTTTAGGCTTTCTCTTGTGTTTATGAGTTTTTATGTTTTGCATTTGTTTTCTATTTTGGGCAGATTTATATATATATTTAAAGGATTTATCATTTATTATAGAGTTTTATCTTGGTTTTGTGAATTTTGTGAAATTATTTTTGAAATTTTATTCCCATTTGATGATCAACAAATTTTTGGCGTTCAAGGTCGTTTTCTTGTTTAAATTTCTTTTATTTTTATTGTGTATTTTTTTTTTTAAATTTTGATTTATGAGGTAGTTTTTTTTTTTTCAACTAAACACAGTCTCTGAAGTTGTTTGGAATTCTTTTCTTGTTTAACGCAAATATTTTGTAAAGGCTTCTTCGTAAGCTGATGGGTTTTTAGAAGTCTGCCTGGAACTATATTTATTTATCTATAATTTTTTTATTTATTTATTTTCACTTATAATTTTTTTCTGGATCTTTTTGGAATTGTATAATTAATAATTGTTATATTTTCGTTTGTTCATGTTGGCTAGCTTGATTCAATTTGTTTTTTCTTGTGATTTGGGATTTCTTATATTTTGTACTTATGAGATTTTCTTCTAAGACTATTTGAATGTTTTTTTTTTGATTATTTAATTTAAAAGTTGTTCTTGCAAGACTTACGCGTGCCGAGCCAAAGTTGAGCTCATAGCGCTGAGCGGGCAGCCTGTTGTATTTCGTCCTGCCCATCCACTGGGGCGTCAGGGAGCGGCACAGCTGTGGCGAGTAGCTCCAGAGACCCTGCTCTGGTCGCATAAGTGGCGCAAAGATGGTGCCATCTGTGCCGCGCAAGCGATTGCAGCTGGTATTATTTAGCTCCGGCCAGATGTGCAGCTGCTTCGCCTCATTGAAGGCGAGCACACGTCCCACGGACGACTGCCGCGATCTGCTGCGTGAGACCTTAAAGCGACCGGCATTTGTGTGATTGCCCTAAAAAACCAAAATGAAGTAAATTATAAAAGAAATCTCTGGGCGCGTCCAGTTGACTTGCCGCGCCCATCAGGGAGAACTTGTAGTGGGTGGCATTCACTGGCAGCGCGCCGGGCACTGCGCCCGCTTGGAACTGCTGGCAAATGGCCTGTGCAGCCGCATGCTCCTGGTCGCAGTTGATATCGATGCCAGCGTAGAAGAGATCCTTGAACTTGGCTGTAATAAAAGCGCTCTGCGGCTTGAAAATGATGTCCAGGCCCAGGGCCACAGTTGCCAGCGTTTCGGCTGGCTGCTCCAAGTTCGCAATGGTCATGAACTATGTGGAATCTCTTGTAGATCTGGTCAAGAAAAGCTTCTTCCGTTTTTGGGCTTACCTGCAGCAGTGGATGTGGCATAGTTATGAGCTCCTCGCCGCTGAGACCCAGATCGGCGCGCGTTTGAAATGTGTTGCGCATGTTAAAGCTAATCGCATTCTCCGCTTCTATATCCATTAGCTCATATTTGTCCTTCCACTCGCTGAAAAAAATTGACATCTATATGAGATGTCCATTTGGGGCTTGTGTCTGGCTCACTCGTATACAAATGGACCCACTTCCTGTAGCTTCGGCTTGCCGCCCATTTCAATATCCTGCGCATTGGTCACGTTGAACACGTAGATCTTGAATGTTAGAGGAAATGGCATTTTCTCCCATAGCTGACGCGTTTCACTGCCAGGCTTTAGATTAACACTCTGTGGAAATTGTCCTGTAATGTGTATAACTTAGATAGCCTTTATGTCTGCACTCACCCGCTTAACTAGCTCCTTGAACAGCATGGGAAACGCCAGAAATCCTATGAGTGCGCCCAGGAGCAGCACCACAAAGGACACAATTATTACCTTAAGATACATTTGTTAGCTCAACGTTTCGACGACGTTTGAGCAACTTATTCTCGAACTGGCCTCATTTAAAACGTTACGTGTCACATAAGTTGGGCATTTTTGATGAGACTTTTATAAAATTTTAATGGCTCCACACGAAAAGGCAGAAACTGGCAACAGACACAGGTCCCTTCAAATTTATTATGCACGCTAATTTGACACTCAATTTTTGTGAAAAGTAAACAAGCTGCGTCTAATTAACATTTGACCCAGTTTATTTCGGGTATTTTCCCTTAAAGCCTTTATTAAGTAATCTTTGGATTAGGTGCATTCCACAAGATTTGAAGCTATATTTATCATAAAATATTCATTAGCTGTGACTATATGCAACAGGTGTGAAAACTTGATTCAGTCAGCCTAGACAACAACCGTCTGAGTGGCTGATGTGGCTTGTGTCTTGGCTGTCTTACAGTGGTGGCAATATTAGTCGTTACACACAAAAATGAGCAAGTTAGCCCACAAATTGACTATTTTATTTAACAAAAAATAACTCGAAAAATGTCACCTAAATTCAAGAAAATACTAATTAAATTTGTTGCAATTTTGCAAATAGATATTTACTTACCAAATTCGTAGCTTTGTCATAAATTAGGCAATGAGCACGTTCGTTAATGGGCTCGTAATCGTAAAATATTTTCTTGATTTATAATTGGACGTGTGCCCAAGTCGTAGTTAGTTACATAAAAGCTCAGGCGCTCAGAATATTAACAATAAATTCAAATGCAATATTACATATTGTCAATCTACATACATCTCCCTGTAAAGTGCTAAAATCTATATGCGTAACTGGTATTTATGAAAAGTGCAGAGAAAGGCACAATTTAAAAGACATTAGGTAAGAGAGCTGCAACAAGAGAGAGTAAACGAAAGAGAAGGTGTGTGATAGACCGTCAAAGATGAGGAGAAACGGAAAGTAAGAGAAATATATAGACAGGAAGATAAATAACGAGAAAATGACTTATGTAGAGAGAAAGAAGAGAGAGAAGAAAGAAGAAGAGAACAGCTTGCTTTATTAGATGCGTTTAAATTGAAATGTTTTATTACTTGAGATTATGAAAATCGCATAGAAAGGCGCTTTCTAAGACATTAGCCGTGAGATAGCAAGTAGGCATAGATCAGGAGAGATCAGGAACACCGAGGATTAAATAGATATAGAAAAAAGAACAAAGAGCGGAGAAGAGAATAGCTTTAAGCAATTTAATATGAATATGAAAACGTTATTACTGCAGATTATGAAAATCGCATAGAAAGGCGCTCAGTTCGGATACAGCCCTCTTTCCAAATCCAAATACATTGGTCTGCTATCTAAATAAATACCTGTTAAAAGAAATTAAAATCACACATCGATTTCACATTTAGGCCATTTAAAGACATTTATTATTAAATTTGGCATTTGGACTATGATCAACATAACATATAAAAGCCGCAGCGTAGAGCATTTGGCTAAAACTGAAAACATCTGTTGCACGTAGCATCGCGCATATGTAAATACTAATCTATGTTTATATATATGTATATAGTTTCTTTAGGTATAAAATTAGGACGTTCATTTATAAAACTATGTATGTATATTTATGCATAAATTATATACACTTAAATTTCACTAAGTTTTTTATGCTTGAGAAGGACAACTTTTAAAACTAGAATATCTAAAATAAATTTGTACAGTTTTCATATGTTGAAGATACGCAACTGAATATGTATGTATATATATATATATATATGTATATGGAGCTTGTGTATGATATAAATCAGTCAAGGATCTTGAGAGGAAAACCCACACAGTACACACACACACGTAATTGTTTAGCTAATCTGCTTAAGAGATTCGTTTTGCCTTCTAGTCGAGTTCCACCTCCTTGAAGAGCGTTTGGCTCTCCGCCTCGCGCGTCAGCGGCATTGCCGCCTGATCCTCGTGTATCTCATCGATCTCCAGCTCCTTGAAGGATGTCTGGCTGATGGCCTCGCGTGTGCACAGCACCGTCAAGGGATCCTCTGCGGCCTGCTCGCTTGTAGGCGGCAGCGAGATGCCTGCGGACAGCATGTGTGTGCCCGAAGTGCTGCAGGATTGGGGAAAAAAGAATCAATCGTTTAGTAAACTGAATAAGTTTCGGTCTCTCGTCTAGGCGTACTTACTTCAGGGAATAGGTGGAGCGGTAGAGCGGCGGCGGCGTGTTCATGCGGACGGCGGCATAGGCCGCCTGCGGGGGATGGGCGCTCGGATGATAGACGAAGGCGTATTCATTCAGCGAGGTCAGATACGAGGGCGGCGGCGGCCGATGCTGAAACTCCGGATAGAGATAGCTGCCCGGCAGCAGGCGATTCGTGCAGTGCGGACTGTTGCAGTTGCGGCAGGTCTCCATGCGCCGGAAGCAGGGGCAATCGTCGACATCGTCGGGCAAGCTGAGACGCCAAATGGCGCCCGAAATGACCAGCAGCGAGACGCCGATGCCAATCATCAGCAGCGCCGCGCTCAGATATTGCGTGGAGTGCTCTATCAGGCCCGTGGAGCCCAGCACAATGCCGCCCAGTGTGCAGGCCACGCCGCCCAGCGCAAAGATCCCGATGACAAACGGCAGCGAGGGCCGCGCAAACCATTTGCGAAAACTGTAGCCCAGCGGAGCGCCGCCCAGCTCGGCGCCCTCCGGAGCGCCATTTGTGCCGGCAACGGCCGAGATGTTCAGGTTGTTGCTGGCCAAAGGGCTGGCAACATCGCCGCTGCCGCCGGCCAGCGGCACAGCCACGTCCAGAAGCGTTCTGTAAGTGCAAGAAAATGGCAATTCATGAGCATACACTGTGCGAAAAACTTGGGCAGAAATTTCAGTTTTTTGGATGCGAACATTTTGTGGCAGCAGCAGACAGTTTGTCTTAGTTGAAAGGGCATTAAAGCGCTCTACTTGGGATTTTGCAATTTAAATTTACAATTGGAAAAACTTGGAGAATAGTTATAAAAGAATCTCGTGGTCACAGCGGGGTCAGTTTAGGCTATCAAATTTGATATTTCGAGCACACTGTAAAATATATATGAAATAATATACAAATTTTAGTATTAAGATAGCCTTGTCTTGGCCTCCTTGGCGGACAAGGATTTGGGCTTAAAGTTAGATGTGGACTTTTTATGACCTTTGGAAATAACTTGAAGAATCAAAAATCGGACTTGCCAATTTATATTGCATACCCTGTAAAAATCGGATTATGTTTTTGTGCAAATGTGTGTAACAGTCGGAAGGATATATATATTCCTGATCAGCATCAAAAGCCGAGTCAATCGATATCGAAATCCTGATCAAATCTCTGAGGTTTTCAGACCTAGAGAAACCAAACTTGATATATAGCTGCTATAAAATACTTTATACAGATAAAGTATCTTTCATTTTAGCAGCTATTGCTGCATTTGGTGTTGGTAGAAGGTTCAGGGTATTCCCTAGTCGAGCACTTTTCGATTTCACAAACTTCCTTTCGCTCAGTGTTCGTTTAGGCTTTCTTGACTGCCGCTACCTGAGTTCAGTCGCTCAGGTAGCCGGTGTCTAGTTTTCTTTGGTTCACATTACATCATAGGAAATGCGGATCCTTTTGTCTACCACATGTTACGCAGCGTCAACGCGTCCTTTGCACTTATCCCCTAACTATGTGCACTTCTCCTCCTCTCACACCCTTGTCATTGCTGCCCTTTGTCTGGCTCTCAAATCTATGATTTGGAACACACACACACACACACACGCACACACGCACATTTGTTGTTGTCCAGTTTGGGCCTGCATAAATTTTGGAAAGAATCTTTGGCCTGACACGAATTGCACCTGCCTGGTCCTGGCCGGGCCCCGATCCTGGCATACCGCTCGCTGTGCGTGTGCGTGGTCCATTTGATTTTTAGAACTATCGTGGCAGCTGTTTCTCATTTGATTTGCTGTTTGTCTTTGTCTTTTTTTCTCATCTGTTTTCTTTGTATCTTAGTTTTTATCATTTTGTATCTTGTTGGGCCGTCTTTTTATTTTTTTGCTGTGCGTCAAACAAAAGCGACTTGCTGCAGTTATTGAATACCCCTACTAGGTTTAATTTATTTCCGTGTGCATCCTACATTTGCAGAGCCATAAATTCAGTATCAAATGTTTAGTTTTTTTTATTGCTGTTTGAAATATTAAAACACGATAAAACTATGAAACCTGCAGCTTTCAAGGTGTGAAAATAAATTTTAGTTGCATCGTAAAACCAAATATGCGCATAAATCAACTGAGGGCCAGACCAGGGCCAAAAAAAGGAAGCGGTAAGCCATAAAAATTAAAAAAAAAAACTTAAAGGAAATCGTTTGAAAAGCCCTAAAAAATATTTATACATATACAAAAAGAACGGAGTCGAGTTGTGCGCTTGAGATTTCATTTAATTACAAACGCCAAACAGCTGCGGGCGGCGGCGGCGGCGGCAAGAATTGACTTTCCCGATCAACTACCAAAACTAATTCCGAGACCAGACAGAGCGTCACACTCAATTGTCTGCAATTTGTCATTCGAAATCTAAAAAAGAAACATAGAATGGAACCCACAGAAAAATGTATAGAAAAAGAAAAACTAAACAGTTAATTAGGCATTGGGAAACTTTGAATGCCCTGTAAAATGTTGCGGCTATGTTAGCTACTGGGATAAACATGTTATTTATATAGATGGATTTATAACTATTTCATGAAATGCGCAATGCATAGAAGGAGACATCAAGTGGGCCACATAATGCATAGATTTGTGTAGTTTGTTTTGTAAGGAAGAAAAGTTAGTGACATTATCCAAAATCGTCTCTTAATTAATAAGCTCTCAATCTTCAAGTCTTCTACAATATTTAAATCTCAGTCTAAGACATACTTTTCGATCGCTTATTTATATGTCAGCTAAAGCTTACTATTTTTTTTTTTTTTTTTTTTTTTTTTTTTTTTTATATTTTGTTTATTAAGAAATCTGGTATCCTGTTACTCTATGTTAGCAACTTTTATCAGAGTGACATAATAACTTAGCTTAGCGATGATTGTGGTTTTACAATTAGTTATACAATTAGGTTAACAGATTACAGAAACATATTTTGGTGTAATTAACGAAGCTTGTCACCTATACATAACGATCGATTAGGTCGGTTGGGTAGGTCCTCTTCAGTCGCCTTCTTCTTCGCCTCCTTAGCAGGCTCCTCGCCAGGATGTTTGGATGGTTGTGGAGCTTTGTTGAGTAGCTCGCTGCTTGCCTGTTGACTACGTCGCCCACCATTGGAACCTTGAGGTCCTTGGCGATGTCGCGTGTGCGAATATACCATTCGGCTCCAGTTATTTTGCGCAGGGTTTTGGCCTGAATGATGCGAATTTTGTTCAGGTGTGTTTTTGCAGCTATACCGTAAACTTGAAGCCCGTAACGCCACACTGGGGCAAGGATTACCTTGTAGATTAGGACCTTGTTTCGGAGCGAGAGTTTGTTTTTGGAGTTGAGGAGCCAGCTCATTCGCCTTATCTTAGATTTGATGTTGCTCGTTACTGCAGAGACGTGCTTACTAAATGTAAGTCGTCTGTCGAGAGTGACACCTAGGTACTTGTGTTGACGATATTGCTCTAGAAGCTCACCATGAAGAAAAAGTCCGGGGCATGAGTCCTTGCGTAGAGTGTGGGTAACCGTGGCGCACTTTCCAGGGTTCACTGCGATGTTCCATCTACAAGCCCAGTTTTCAAATCGCTTGAGGTATTCCTGCAAGAGGTCAGTTGCCACGTACACACATTTGTTTTTTGCAAGGATTGCCGTGTCGTCAGCAAACGTGGCCACCAGAAGGTCCTGCCGATCATTCCGTCTGCTTGCATTTGCTGTGGGCATGTCATGTGTAAACAGGCTATATAGCGTGGGACCCAAGACGCTGCCTTGTGGAACGCCCGCTTTTATGCGTTTGGTTTGAGAGGCTACTCCATCCTGCACCACTTGAAAGGTTCTCTCAGTTAGGAAGCTCGCAATGGTGCTAAATAGCTGCGGATTCAATTTGTCCTTTATCTTGGAGAGGAGTCCTGCGTGCCACACCCGGTCGAAGGCTTCTTGGATGTCGAGGTATGCTGCCACCACATACTCTTTCCTGTGAAAGCCGTCCAAAATATAATTTGTGACCCGATGTAGTTGCTCAGGGGTACCGTGTTTGAGTCGAAACCCAAACTGGAACTTCGGGATCAAGCGTTTTATTTCCGGGGTATCCAGGACCCTTCTGAGGATGCACCTTTCCAGAATCTTACCAAAGGCAGGCAGGAGGCTGATGGGGCGATAGGATCCCAGTTGATTAGGGGGCTTTCCGCTCTTGTGCAACATGATTATATGTGCCTTCTTCCAAGCCACTGGAAAGTAACCTAGCCGAAGAGCTGCATTAAAAATGGCGACGAGAAAAAGCACCGCCTTGTATGGCAGTAGCTTGATTGTCTGGTTGTCCAACCGATCTTCCCCAGGGGCTTTGCTGCTTTTTAATCTCTTCATCTCCTGCTCTACTTCTTGGAAGGTGATTGGCGATACAGGGAGTGACATTTGGAGTGGCGCCTCCAGGATTTGCGCGACTCGCTGTATCCTTCCATGCGATGCGGTCTCAAACGGCTTGAAGCGCTCCTCCAAGTTGCAGGCAAAGGCTTCGGCTCTGTCCATTGGTGATCTGGCCCAGGTGTCATCGGGAAGTCGAACGGGGAACTTTGGCGCAGCTTGCCGCTTGTATCGACTGCTAAGTTTCCACAGCGCGAATTTGGAGCTCTCGTCTGCCGTTGCTTCCTCCAGCATGGTGTCTGTGGCATTTCTTTTCGAGATAATCAGCTCCTTCCTGACCCTGTTAGCAATACGACGATAGATCCTGTCAATCGTGGGGTCCTGGGTACGGACATACTCCCTCCTCAGTCGCTTTTTTAGGGCGAGAAGACCTTCCAATATGGGGGAAAACGTCCTTGGCCGCTGGCTTGTAGGGGCTGAGTAGATATGTGCGGGCGCAGCGTTGGCGGCTGCGGCATGTACTTGGTCCAACAGGGTTTGTACTGCAGCGTCGACGTCCTCAACTGACAGAATCTGCGTGTTTAGGTTGATCAAGCTATTTAGTTCGGCCTTAAATCGTTGGATGTTCGACCCAGGGAGGACAAGCCTGCGCTTTTTTGGGATCCTTTGTGCAGCCGTGTTGATCGTTGTGAGGAGTGGCAGATGGTCGGAAGATAGATCATACTCTTCGCGAACCGATAGTACGCTGTTGGGGATGCCCTTGAATATAAAAAAGTCGATACAGGAAGGCGTACTTTGCCGGTTGTACGGAAAGTGGGTAGGTCTACCGGTGGCCAGTACCTGGGCTGAGCAGGGAGTGAGCGCCTCATGGAGCGCAGTGCCTCTGCTGTCAGCTCTGTAGTTTCCCCACAGTCTGTGCTTAGCGTTGAAGTCGCCTCCAACGATGAATTTGGGGCCAAGCTGGCCAAACAGGGAATCAAATTCCGCTCGGTTCCAGGGGATGTTTGGTGGTAGGTATGCTGCCGCAACGAGGATTTCGCCCAAGGGAGTCTCCACCATGATAGCAGCCAGCTGTGTGTCGCTGGAGGTCACTGTGTGTAGATGGTAGTGTGCTAAATCCTGCTTTGCCAGCACTACAGCACCACCTCTGGCTCGTCCTGTAGGGTGATCCGCACGGTAGCAGACGTACCCCTCCATTGTTAGGTACAAGTTTGTGTGCAGATGTGTTTCTGAGATGAGCATGATGTCTACATCATGCTTTTTCAGAAAAAGCTTGAGCTCGTTAGC